TTACAAAACCGTGTAAGGGCTTATAAGGTGTTAGGCTACTTCCCCCATTGCCAATTAGTTTTAGGGAAGAATCTCAACTTCCTTCATGATATCAGAGTAAGTTGCCCATGTGTGAAATCTCAACAGCCACAAATGCTCCACGTCACCCAATATGTATTGTACACGTGTTATTGAAAATTTGCCACACATGCAAGGGCGTGTGAAAATGTCACACATTGGAAAGTTAGAAAAGGAGAGAGAAAAATTTTAAAAGAAGCAAAAATGGACAAAAATGCCCTTATTTATTTTTAGATTTCCTAAGGAATCCAATACATTTGCATGTCTTTTATTTGAAAGTTGAGCGGTTTTTTTGTCTTTTTTGAAAAAGCTTTGGCTTTTTCCAAAAGTGAAAATTTTTTTATGTCTAAAACCTAAAAAACCTTTTGTTGTTTGTTGTGATATGTATATTTCCTTGACAAGAGAGACAAGTGTGGGCACAGTTGAATAACGTCCACGAGAGAGATTACATAATTTTGGAGTGCCATTTCGAAATCATTGAAGAAAATCCGTTGGGAAAATTTTGTCCACACAGCTGTGTGCTTCTGATTCGTACAAGCGACTTCTGCTAATCTTGTGATTGTGGAACACGTGACAATTAATTGCAACTTTTCATTTAATTCATTTTTTCTAAGTCCTACCCTCTCTATAAATTCTGAAACTTTGCAAGTGCTTTTAATATTCAAAGACATGGAGAAATCAACAATGTCAGTTATACAATTTGTGTTGCATCTTCTTGTTCTTCATCTTCAGTATTCAGAGGTTCACTCGCTTGCCAATACTTCTGCTCATGGTAAATTTCCATCTTCAGTATTCATTTAACAAAAAAGTGCAGATTTATAATTAAGAAAACTGAAACATGTAGTGCAAGAAACAAGCTAATTTAGAAGCATGTTGAAAAAAATCTTTCATCTCTTCACATATATTTTGCAGATTTTAGCTACTTGAAGTTTGTGTACAACGCCACTGATACAAGCTTGGAAGGATCATATGACTACATTGTAGTCGGTGGAGGAACATCAGGGTGTCCATTGGCAGCAACTTTATCAGAAAAATACAAGGTGCTTCTTCTAGAAAGAGGCACTATTGCTACAGAATACCCGAACACGTTGACTGCAGATGGGTTTGCATATAATCTGCAGCAACAAGATGATGGAAAGACGCCAGTCGAAAGGTTCGTGTCCGAAGATGGCATTGATAATGTGCGAGGCAGGATCCTCGGTGGCACGACCATAATCAATGCCGGCGTCTACGCCAGAGCTAACATTTCATTCTATAGTCAAACAGGAATTGAATGGGACCTGGATTTGGTCAATAAGACATATGAGTGGGTTGAAGACGCCATTGTGGTCAAGCCAAATAATCAATCTTGGCAATCTGTTATAGGAGAGGGATTCTTGGAGGCTGGTATTCTTCCAGACAATGGATTTAGTTTGGATCACGAAGCAGGAACTAGACTCACCGGCTCAACTTTTGACAATAATGGAACGCGACATGCAGCTGATGAACTGCTTAATAAAGGAGACCCTAACAACTTGCTAGTTGCAGTTCAGGCCTCAGTAGAGAAGATCCTCTTCTCTTCCAATACATCAAGTATGTTGCATCTCTGATATTTAATGGTAGCTCCTAGTTTGTCATGCTGCACTCGAAAATTATTATTTTATTATTCTAAAATACTAACAGAATAGTGTGAAGTCTCATATTTCCCAAATTTCCATAAATAAAACTTCCCAATTCTCCTTCGTTTAGTTTGACAATAATTATAAGCTATTCTCTAATGCAGATTTGTCAGCCATTGGAGTCATATATACGGATTCTGATGGAAACTCTCATCAGGCATTTCTACGCGGTAACGGAGAAGTTATTGTTAGTGCAGGGACAATCGGAACGCCTCAGGTTCTACTACTTAGTGGCGTTGGACCAGAGTCTTACCTATCTTCTCTCAACATCACGGTTGTTCAGCCGAATCCTTACGTTGGGCAGTTTGTGTATGACAATCCTCGTAATTTCTTTAATATTTTGCCCCCCAATCCAATTGAAGCCTCTGTTGTAACTGTTTTAGGCATTAGAAGTGATTATTATCAAGTTTCTCTGTCAAGCTTGCCATTTTCCACTCCACCCTTTAGTCTTTTTCCTACATCTTACCCCCTCCCAAATTCGACTTTCGCTCATATTGTTAGCCAAGTTCCAGGACCTTTGTCTTATGGTTCTCTCACCCTAAATTCATCATCTGACGTGAGAATCGCTCCGAATATTAAATTCAATTACTTTTCAAATTCCACGGACCTTGCTAATTGCGTTAGCGGCATGAAGAAGCTTGGTGACTTATTAAGGACAAAGGCATTAGAACCATATAAAGCTCGAGATGTGCTGGGAATTGACGGTTTCAATTATTTGGGAGTACCTTTACCAGAGAACCAAACAGATGATGCATCCTTCGAAACATTTTGCCTAGATAATGTAGCTTCATACTGGCATTACCACGGTGGAAGCCTTGTTGGGAAAGTTCTTGATGATAGTTTCCGTGTTATGGGGATCAAAGCATTACGCGTTGTTGATGCCTCCACTTTCCCTTACGAACCAAACAGCCATCCTCAGGGCTTCTATCTGATGTTAGGCAGGTATGTGATGCACACTTCCAACCACTAGAGATTCTCAATAATTATTTCGTTGAATATGGTTTTCTTTGTAACGTACAATGTTTGGGCAAAATTCTGCTCGGGGAATATTTGCATGTAGATCCTTGACCCTCGAACTTCCTACTCTTGCCTCTTCCTCGATCCCTAGGAGTAAATAGACCATATCTTTGAGTAAATAGACCCTAATCCCTAGGAGTATATATATATTTGTAATGAACTCTGTCCCACATTGCTCTCTTTTTTGTTAATCCTTAAATTTTTGTGTTTTGCGCAGGTATGTGGGCCTTAAAATCCTGCAAGAAAGGTCAATCCGGTTGGAGGCTATTCATAATATTCAAGATTCCAAGTGAAGTTCTTGGATTTCCTTAATTCCACATTATCCTCTGCTTTTTAAGATTAATTAATAAACCCACGAGATCTGACTCAAGTGGGATTAGGGTTTCGCTTGCAAAGAGGGGTTAGGCCCATTATATATCCCCTGCCTCTTTCTTTCTTGTTAAATAAATTTCCCTTGTCATGTCGAGGTTCTTTAAAAATTAAATAAAATAATAAGAATCCTTTGGTAGAACTTGTCCTTTGCAAAACAGATTTCCAAGGAAATGACTCCCTAAAGCTTATTTTTATTTATTTTTTGTCATTTTAAACAAACTCTAAAATTAATTGAGTACACCATACTACGAAACTATTTATTGAATTACTTTTGTTCTAATATAAAATGACCAAACTTGTTGGAAATTAGGAAGTTTTCTTTATTTCCTTTTCTGTAATTGATTGTAATTGATTTAGGAGTAGTCTCCAAGTAAACCTAGGATTCATTGTAGGGTTTGTAAAACTCTTTATATATTCTTAGCCTTCTGGCCCTGTCAATACACAAAGAAATATTCTTCTCAACATAGTCTCCAATTTCACATGGTATCAGAGCACCGGTTCTAGGTGTCTCTTTGTTTACAAACCCTAACCGTCTAACTCCTCATGGGTGACGCTAGCAAAACCTCCCAAACAAAAGCCAAAATGTAACATCCCACATCGACCAACGGAGAGGGGGGGGTGATGTGCCTTATATGTACATGCCCACCTCCATCTTGCACAAGGCTTTTTGGGAGCTCACTGGCTTCGAGTCGTGAGAACTCCGAAGTTAAGCGAGTTGAGGGTTAGAGCAATCTCAGGATGGGTGACCCACTGGAAAGTTGCTCGTGAGTTCTTAGAAACAAAACCGTGAGGGCAGAGGGGGGGCCCAAAGCGGACAATATCGTGCTACAGCGGAGCCGATCCCGGGATGTGACAATTTGGTATCAGAGCCACTCTGCCATGTGGTGCTAGTGTGCCGACGAGGATGTCGGGCCCCTAAGGGGGGTGGATTGTAACATCCCACATTGACCAACGGAGAGGGGGTGATGTGCCTTATATGTACATGCCTACCTCCATCTTGCACGAGGCCTTTTGGGAGCTCACTGGCTTCGGAGTCGTGGGAACTCCGAAGTTAAGCGAGTTGGGGGCTAGAGCAATCTCAGGATAGGTGACCCACTGGGAAGTTGCTCGTGAGCTCCTAGAAACAAAACCGTAAGGGCAGAGAGGGGGGCCAAAAACGGACAATATCGTGCTAGGGCGGAGCCATTCCTGGGATGTGACACAAAATTCCTTCAACAAAAACCATGGATCATACTGATCCTTACTTCTTGCAATCCTCGAATCATCTAAGGCTTGTTCTTGTCTCCCAACCTCTTGATGGATAACTACAGCACGTGGCGCCGCACCATCACCATTAGTCTCAATGCCAAAAATAAATTAGGGTTTGTTAATGGCACCATCAAATCTTTTTCTGAGAAAGATTTCAAGTACCCTTTATGGTGTCGCTGTAACGATATGGTGATGGCTTGCTTGTTGAACACTTTCACACCAGGCCATGCCAACAGTGTTATCTATGTTGACACTCTTGCTGAAATTTGGATTGATTTGCAGGATCGATTCTCTCTTGGCAATCTTACTCGTATTTTTCAAATTCGAAGGACCATCGCCGAACACAAACAAGGTCAATAAATCGTCTATCAATACTACACAAAATTGAAATCCGTTTGGGATGAATTGGGCTCTTATCAATTCGTACTGCATTGCACTTGTGGAGCCTTGAAGGTGTTGCGAGCATGTCAGGATGAAGAGTAAGTCATACAATTTTTGATGGGTCTCAATGACTCATACACAGCCATTCGAGGCCAAATTTTATTGATGTAGACTGTTCCTTTTGTTAAGTAGGCCTATTCCATGATTATGTAGGAAGAACAATAGTGTGAAGTGGGAGAACACACTTTGTCTGAAGTTGCACATGCCATGAATGTGAGCAACAAGTCAGACAAGCCCCCTAGCTCCTCCTTTTCCAGCAACTCCAAAGCACAAGAGACCAACTCTTCCAAACATACTGATCAAAGAAGCAATTCACGCAAACCTCTCTTTTGTACCTACTGTGAAGATACTACTCATCTAGTCGACAAGTGTTATTATTTGCATGGTTTTCCTATTTGGCACAAGCTTCATGGCAAAGATGTCAAGCCACCCAATCGCTCCAAGAAACCCTCCATAGCAAATCAGACACAATCTACTCCACCACCCGCCGCAGAAGGTTTCAAGTTAATTTACTTTGTGTTAGCAAACTTACATCTCGTCTCAACTGTTCTATTCACTTCTTCCCTACTTTTGTGTCTTACAGGACCTGACTTCGAAGAGGACGATTGGCCTGGGGAAACAAGTTAATGGCTTATACTACTTGCTCATGAAAGAGAACGTCACCACTCCACCATCCACATCCAACGCCACCACATGCCACCTCAATCACAAATCTACTGCTCTCTGGCATCAACGCTTATGTCATCCCTCCAAAGAACCATCCAAATTTTTGTCTCAAACAATTTCTGGAATTTTATATGATTTGCACCATCATTGTGATGGATGGCCTTTAGCTAAGCAAACTCGTTAGCCTTTTTCTTCCAATTCAATAAAAACTGCTCGTCCTTTTGATTTAATTCATTGTGATATTTGGGGTCCTCGCCACATTACATCTCATTTGGGTGCACGATACTTTCTCACCATTGTTGATGATTACACATGCTACACTTGGCTTCACCTCATGCATCACAAATTTGACACACAACAAATTCTCAAGAATTTCTTTGCTTATGTCCACAATCCCTTTCATTATTATGTCAAAAGTGTTCGTTCTGATAATGGGACTGAATTTGTGTCTATGATCTCTTCCTTTGGTGAACATGGCATCACTTTTCAACGCTCATGTCCTTCCACTCCACAACAAAATGGAGTGATTGAATGCAAACATAGGCACTTACTTAATGTTGGCCGAGCCCTTCAATTTCAAGCTCATCTTCTTCTTCCTTTTTGGGGAGAAAGTGCTCTCACAACTGCCTACCTCATCAATCGCCTTTCCACACCTACCCTTAACAAAAAAATCACCATATGAAATGCTTCACCAAACACCTCCTACATATACTCATCTTTGTGTCTTTGGGTGCCTTTATTATGTTACCAACACCAACTCACCTTCCAAATTTTCACCTAGGGCTCGTTGTTGTGTCTTCATGGGATATCCATTGGGCTAAAAGGCTTATAGAGTTCATGACCTTTCCACACACAAGTTTTTCTTTACCATGACATCGTGTTTCATGAACATGTCTTTCTTTACCACACCTCATTATCAAACACACATCTCATTGCTTCCGTACCTTTTCCTAACCCGTTTCTAGACATTTTCCCCTCTAAAACACAGTCCCAACCTCAAACAACTTCCAAAACCACAAACTGCCCAAAAAAAAAAATCAATCGCCCATATTCTGGCGATCGATCGCTTTTTGACAAAGAGCATTCGAACTCGCCATGGTGATCTCCATGAAGAAGTTTACATGACCCCTCCTCGAGCCTTTGTCGATAGGGGAAGAGTACTTTGTTTTGTCGACTACACAAGTCCCTTTATGGTCTCAAACAAGCTCCTCGCAATTGGTTTCACAAGTTTTCTGTTGCCATTTAGAAAGAAGGATTTACACAATTTCTCTCAAATTATTCTCTCTTCACTCGTACTTGTGGTACGTCATTTACTGTTGTTTTAATATATGTTGATGACATGGTGATCACATGAAATGACGAGAATGCTTTACATAACTTGAAGTCTTTTCTTCATAATCAGTTTCACATTAAAGATTTGGGACATTTGAAGTATTTTCTTGGGCTAGAGATTGCAAAATCAAAGGCGGGAATTGCGATATCCCAACGAAAGTACATACTTGAAAATACTCGATGATGCAGGTCTTCTAGGTGCTCAACCAGTAGACTTTCCTATAGAGCAAAACTTGAAGCTCACAAACAGTGATGGTGAAGTGCTCAACGATCCTTCGTGGTTTAGTCGATTGGTGGGAAGATTAATCTACCTTACAATCACTCGACCAGAGATTACTTATGCATACAACATTTTGAGCCAATTTATGCATCAACCAAGGAAACCACATTTGGATACCGCTTTACATATTCTTCGCTATTGGAAAGGTAGTCCAGGTCAAGGATTACTTTTCTCTTCAAACAGCAAGTTGCATTTGATAGGTTGTTGTGATTCTAATTGGTCAAATTGCCCTATGACAAGAAGATCCACTTCAGGCTACTATGTTTTTCTTAGGAATTCACTTATATCCTAGAAGACAAAGAAATAGAAAATGGTATCTCGTTCATTTGCTAAAGCAGAATATCGTTCCATGGCAGCTGCTACTTGTGAGCTGACCTGGTTTAGATATATTTTGAAAGATCTACAAGTTACCAATTTAGGTCCTGCAAAGTTGTTCTGTGACAACCAAGCAGCCCTTCATATTGTCGCCAATCCCGTTTACCACGAACACACGAAACACATCGAGAAAAGATATAAGTTGGAAGATACAAGCTGCCTTCTTTTTTCCATCCGCGTCACAGTTAGCAGATTTGTTTACCAAAGCCCTTGGAAGTAATGTTTTTTACAATCTTGTACTTAAGTTGGGCATTAAGGGGGAGTCTTGGAAATTAGGGAGTTTCTTTATTTCCTTTTCTATAATTGATTGTAATTGATTTAGGAGTAGTCCCCAAGTAAACCTATGAGTCCTTGTAGGGTATGTAAATCTCTCTATATATTCTTCGCCTTCTGGCTCTATCAATACACAGAGAAATATTCTTCTCAACATAGTCTTCAATTTGACAAAACTGTTAAAGTACGGGTAGTTTCTAGCTGAATGGTGTGGATAAAGCATGGTTGATTATTTTGGGATTTTCTTCCCTTTTTTCTCTTTTGTTTGTCGGTTGTGCAATATAAATTTGCAGCTGGCTTCAAATTCAGTTATGATATAAGCATCTGAAAATGCTCTTCTGCCACATTTTCTGAGATTGTCCATAAGATGACTTTGTCCCAGTCTTCACATTATATTTTTGCATATACAAGAGTGTAATTAGGCGAGATCCGACAAGGAGGAATCTCCAAATCCTCCAGAGAGATCCATCGAGGCGAGGTTTGTTTAGGTGAGGTATATCGAGGGGAGGGTTCAGACCGTTGGACCGACTCAATTTCCAGATATGTTGATCTAGGTACCTCTAAGATTGTGTAGGAATTCGCGGGTCGAGAGTTGGAATCTTGGATACTCCGATTCAATGAATCAAAGATTAGGTAAAACGATGACTGTCCAATAGTGCGATCACGAGCGATCTGACAGCTCGAGCTGGACCAAACTTGCAGGACGTATTTAGTAAACTTTGTTGAACACGTAGGAACTTTCGGATCGAAAATCGGAGGTTGTGGGCCCCGCATGCCCTGTTGACCAAAAATGAAAAGTTTGACCAAACCATTGACCACGGGTCTTTTGAGACCGTCCCGTCTTTTGAAATAAAATTTCAAGTTCGAATCCCCAAATCTTCATTTCTAAACTAGAAAGAAGAATTTAAAGTCCCTTGATGCAAGATGTATTTGTGCCTTTTGATACGCTCGGAAAGTAGGTAGCGAGAGGCTTACTAAAATTCTCTGATAAACTAAAAGGAAAGAGATTTCTATGCATTAGCTTGAACGCATCAGGGGTTTATTTGCCTAGCTCTTAGTAGGGGTACACATTTGGAAGATATGATTATGGGATTTCCAAGGATTTCTTATTGTTGTTGTTGTTGTTGTTGTTGTTGTTGTTGTTGCTGTTGATGATGATGTTATTTTGATGTGGAAATTGAGTTGAGAACAGACGTTGAAAGTTAAGGGTGATCTAATTCAAACTAGTGAATTTTTTAGGATGGAATACATGATTATGGGAATTTCGAGAATGCGTATTATTATTACTATTATTAGTGGTGCTATTAATATTATTTGTAAAGGGTTATGGTGACTTTAGGTATGTTATGAATTTTGGTTTTGGTGCATTAGTTTATATGGTTATCGGACTTTGAATTGCAATATCTTTGAGAATGTCGGAAGTAATATGTATATATTGATGGGTTTATTTAGTTTCGATGTCTTTCTTAATTATGGTTTTAATATGATTTTCAAAAAAAGGAAGGGTATTATTTTATTTTATATATATATATATATATTTGTTATATGAAAACAATTTTTTTTGGAAGTTGGATTTTGAAAGTATTATTGTAATATCCCACTTCGACCAAAGGAGAGTGGGTGATGTGCCTTATATGTACACGCCCGCCTGCATCTAGGACGAGGCCTTTTGGGAGCTCACTGGATTCGGAGTAATGGGAACTCCAAAGTTAAGCGAGTTGGTGCTCAAGTAATCCCAGGATGGGTAACCCATTGGGAAGTTGCTCGTGAGCTCCTAGAAACAAAATCGTGAAGGCAGAGAGGGGAGCCCAAATCGGACGATATCGTGCTACTACAGAGTCGATCCCGGGATGTGACAATTTGGTATCATAGACACTCTGCCGTGTGGTGCGAGTGTGCCGACAAGGACGTCGGGCCCCTAAGAGGGGTGGATTGTAACATCCCACTTCGACCAACGGAGAGGGGGTGATGTGCCTTATATGTACATGCCCGCCTCCATCTAGCACGAGGCCTTTCAGGAGCTCACTGGCTTCGGAGTCATAGGAACTTCGAAGTTAAGTGAGTTGGTGCTAGAGCAATTCCAGGATGGACAAAACCGTGAGGGCAAAGAGGGGAGCCCAAAATGGACAATATCGTGCTATGGCGGAGCCGATCCTGGGATATGACAATTATCTTTATTATATATTAGTTTATGAAAGTGGATTTTGAATCTTGTCGATGACACGCCATCTCATGTAACCCCCTTGGATACTAATATTGGAACTAATGGATAATGGATACTTGGAAACAATGTTTATGGTTTGGATATGATCGAATCCCAGGCACCCTTGACGGGGTGTTTCATAGAACCTTAGCGGGGTAGTTTGCGCGCGTAGGATTTGTCACAGGTGCACGAGTATTGAGGATTCTGCTGTGCATGCTGGAAGCCTAGTCCCCCGGTTGGACGGCTCATCCTTGGCCACATGGTTGTTGAGGATTTCTCTATGTGGTTCAGCCCAACGATACCCAATTGGATTTCCCCCCCTCCCCTGTGGGCACTTGGATACTTGGATATAAATACTCGGATATGGACACTTGAGTATGTCGAAACCTAGGACAGGGTGTTTTGTAGACCCTTAGCGGGGTAGTTTACGGGGGTAGGACTTGTCACCAGCGCACGAGCATTGGAGATTCTGCTATGTGTGCTGGGAGCCCAGTCCTC